TTGTTTTCATGTTGGATGGGGTCCTGCATGACAGGGAACTACTTGGAAGCTGAAGATTAAACTGAGTCAGAAGCACTGTTGCACTGAAGTGGATATTCGTTTATGTGAAAAACACAGCTGCTGGCTGTCAGGACAGTTTCTTATGTAGGAACTAAAGCTTGGGCAAGGGAAGAGATGCACAGGTGGAAAATCAGTGCATCTCACAGACTATGCTAAGTATGTAATCTTTTTCAAATTAATACCTACTCTTACTGATAGTAATTCTTCAGGTATTACTGGCTTCTTGCTAATTCATCCTCATAAATAGCAACATTCATTAAGAAAGGAAGAAGGGTGGTAGTGATTTTTCTCCTCAAAGCTTAATTCTGTTCCCATAAAACAGCATCACAGGCTCCATACTTCTGCGCCTCGGCAATTCAAATTGCCAATAAAATCAGCTACAAAAAACAAATACTTTTAGAATAATCAGTTCTGGCAAATTCAATGGGAATTCAAATGTCCTGCTGGGCCCTTTCATCTGCTGTAGTAATTCTGCAAGCAGACCTTCATTACTTCTGTTGACAAGGCATGAGCCAAAAGCAAATTCAAATTGCTCCCTTTTCCAGAGCTTTACTGCTTTGGAATGCTAAAATATAAACCCAAAAGTTAGTCAGATGCTGTTCTTAATTCACTCAAAAAGCCCATCCAGCCAAGGAGGTGTCATTTCTCCATACTTTCCAGAGCAAGTTTGAGGCAGAATTAAAGATAGGTCTCCTCAAGACAAACTATCCCCACGGAAATCTGATGGAATGCTCTGATTTACAAGGTTTTTTCTCAATACACTATTGCCATTAATACCCACCATATGTCTTCACATCCTTTACAGTGAATTATTAGTCTTATTGATAATGGAGGCAGACTTCAAATCTTTCAATTTCTAGAGAGTCTTCATGAAAAATGTTTTAAATAGCATGCAAATTTTACAGCTCTGAAAATGGAGCTGTGATTAGACAAAGATTTGTTGGATTATAAACGTACAAGTGTTTATTATGACTGGTACTGAGAATAAACAGTTGCTTGCATATGCCAGCTACTATGGAAATATGTTTTTAAGTTCTAATGTGAGCTGTAAACCAAAGCTACTTCAGTTAAAAAAATTCAATACTTAGACTGTGGGGAGAAGTAGTCAGTGCCAGAGAAAACATTCCCATTTAATAATGTTTGAACATAGAGCTGTGATGCAGTTTGTAGCAAGGCAGTGAGAAAAACCCACAACTAATCCTTCATTGCAGCTGTCTGAACTTTTGGTTGTCTGCCATATTTTAAACAGCGACTTCTTTTTCCTGGTGACTCAAGACTTGAATGACCTAGTGTGGAGAGTTTAAGCTATATACAAAAAAGGAATTAAGTAAGAAATAGCCTAAGTTGGATTGCATGCCCCAGCAAATTAGGGGGTTGTATCTTAAGTCCTCTTCAGTGCCTAGGAAAAAATATTAAAATAAATAGATACCTTTTTATTTATTTATTTTTGGCAAGGAAATATTTAGTGGTTTAGGCACCCATCTCTCCTCCTTCCTCTCTTCTCTCTCTTTAGAGTACTGATGCTATGTGGAAACTAAATTCTGTAGAGAGTTCAAATTTTGAAGTTTATAAATGCTAACCTTTCCTGTAGAAGAACTTTCTAATCTTGGATTATTTTTAACTTTTTCTTCCCATTGATATATCTCATGGGTAGGTCTTTTAAGCGGCATGAAGTACCAAATGAGCTTTTTTTCCCTGATCAGTTATTTTGCAAAGTAATGAAATTTGCTTACTTTCACATGGAAATATTGGGGTCAGAGGAGTAATTTTGTGTAAATGCCAACTTTAAAAAAGAAAAAGGGCTTTCTACGTTTGCCCCATTCTCACTATCACTTATTTGAAAATAAATTAAACATTTAATTCATTTAATTTAAGTATTATCCTGAACTGATGGAAACCACGTAGTTTGACAAGTCTTACAACGTTCTAATAATTTCTTATTAAGACTAATTTCTAAATGGTCATTCATAGCTACATATTCTGATCTTTCACAGCTATGTATTATGTCGTATCTTTGCATGACAAATAACTGGGTATTGAAAAAAGGTAAATCATTGAAGAAAAAATCAATCTATGCTGGGTCCAATGCCCACGGCAACAAATCCGCAGCATAATAGCTTTTGAGGTACACTAAGCAACAAGGCAGTACAGCACAATAAACCATATATTGTTATCTATCTGACTAATGCAAGGAAAAGCACAGAAATAGAGGGGATTTCAGCCTGAGAACTCAGTAAATACCTAAAATGCATGAGCACAGTGTTTCTGTACAAAGGGGAGCAAACACCTTTTGGTTGCAAGGGTTTGAACCCCCAAATACTGCCAGTAGCTTTGTGTTTCATCCCACAGCGTCACTTCTCAGCCAGCTGAAGCAAATTTATACAGTCTCTGTTCAGACACAGCAGCACATGATCTATATGAAATGGAGGCTCAGTTAACAGGTAGCTGTTAATAATGGAAAGGAGGGGGAAGAGAGATCATATCTCAGTTTTAACCTCAGTGAGCAGATTCCAATCAGCCTCTTGTAATATGTAGTTTCACTAGAAGAGAATGATACATGACTTTTATCACAGAGCAACAGATCATCTGTTTATTGGTTTTCCCAAACTCTCTCAATCATTCTGGTTAAGTGAATACTGTGACTACAAAGAGATGATTGTGCAAAAGAGGGTAGATGTTCTAAAGCAGAACTGGGCTGGCAGTCTAAGCTATACGCTGGGCAAACTGGATGATTTGCACAAGAACACACACAAGCGCTTCCTTTCCTGTTTTTTTTGTAACTTGATTTTTATTTAAATACTTCCAAAGCATTATGTTAATGTACACTTTCTTCTGGTTCATGAATAACAAATATTTTTAAGTCTCAAATAAGATCCTTGTACAATTTGTGTTTGTAATTATATTTTGAGTCTCATTTTCACATGTTCAGTTCCTGAGCCAAATAGTATTGACTTTTCATTTTGAATGATGCTACACAGAACTGTAACATCTACTTGTACCTTTCAGTTAAGCATTATTTTTAATGGATATTCCCTTGTTTATTTTTCAGCATGTTTCCATGGGATTACAGACGATAAGTTTTAGTTAACAGTCTCCATAAAGTTGTTTAGTGCAAAATCCATTGTTGGGGGTTTTTTCTGCATTAAAAAAATAGTTTACAACAGAAATTCTAGGTTATTTCATAGTCTAGAATGCATTAAAAGCATAAAGTCATGCGTATGTCAGAGACATATTTACAAATCTGTACAGTTTCTGTCCTTCTTTATTTACTGCGGCTCTTGCCAGGCAACTAGGTTCAACTCTTACCACTCTGAGGTCAAATTCTCCAATATAACGTATATCCATCACCTAAAAATGCTTTGTTTTGCTTACCAGCCCTGATGTTGATCGCTGCATGTAAGAGGGGCCCGATTCTGCACTCCATTTCATAAAGCCTACCTTCCATGGAGTTAGAGATGGTTACCACTGTGGCTCAAGGCAGAACATGGACAGGGATGAACCCCACCCAGGCACCTTTTCTTACTCCAATATTTTGATGTGTTGAACTGCTGGCATATTTCAACTAAGCCTGAGTGGCAGATGAATTTATTTCTGACCTGCAGATTATTTGCAGTTGCCAGACTTTCTCTTGTTCGTTCAGAAGGGTAAGGAATAGTACTTCATACTAAACTCACACTATGTTAAAGGACTCTAGAAAACATGCTTCCCTCTCTCCCTATTTATTTTCAGAACTGTTGAAAACGGAACATGCTGTTGGAAAAGCCTCTGTGCTTTTACACCATCAACCAGTCTAAAAAGCCAAGTGTTTGCATTTTGTCAAGTGGATGCAATTTCTTTCTTTCCCAGGTCTGCTTTATCTTTAAAACCACAATAAACAGCATGCAAAAGGGCTACTCATCTCCCATAGCCAATGTCCATCCCAGACACCCCTCCAGCCGATGAAAGAGCAGAATGGTGAAAAAATCAGTCCTTCACAGAGTTCACATGGCAAAAGTATTATACATGGCTTCAGTTGCCAGAGGTACTACTGGCTGTGAATTAAAATTCAGTATCTTGGTCACTCAACATCATGTTCAGAAAAGCAGCTGACTTAATTGCATAGAGTTTCCCTGGAAAGTGCTTCATCACTGTTTGGCTCTGTAGTAAGAGGCCAATCATCATAACACCTGGAATCAAAGGTGCTCTGACTCCTCTCCTGCTGATCCTTAAGGAAAAATGTCACTTAACAGTATTATCTGAATTCCAGGGAGACATCATGATTTCTATAGGAAGATTAGGATAAGAATGGAATTTCTTCACTAAGGCTAAAAGAACACCTTCCAGAAAAATAGCACAATGATCCAACATTCATGGCTTGTTAAATTCACAATGGTGAAGAAAATAATCTTAGTAATCATTGCAATAGTACCCATTAAAGTATAGTAGCATATAGTTTTTCTTTTTAAGACACATCAGGTAATAGTTTGTTATGGTGGATTATCCTGACCAGCTTGGGCAGGTTCTAAAAAAGGAACAAATACCACGTGTGTGGATGCTCCAAAAATATCTGTCTCCTATTCTTCCCTCCTTCTTTTCCTCTTCCACTGAGAATAGACCAAAAAGACCTGACCAGCCCTACCATTACATTATAACCAGGTAACACAGAAATTAATCAATTAATTTATTACTATTAGGAGCAAAATGTAAAAGTGGAACAATTTGTAGATGTAGTACCGAGCATGCTTGTGTCCTGCTGATGTCTCCAAAAGACCCTTCTGATAAAAATGTACAGATTCTTTAGCTCTGCAAAGTCGAATATGCTAAACTGTGACTTCAAAAGGTTGAAATTTTTTCTGTCTTCTATGTTCTTTTAGCATTGTTTTTTTCTTCTGCTTTCTGCACTGCTGGATTTTAGCATCCATGAGTCATATGATCCTTCTAGCATCAGTATGTTTTTTCTTCTGATCTCTAGCATCTCTACCAAACAGGCCCTGGCTAGACTTTCTGCATTTCGATGTGCTGGTGATGGTAGTGGTGGTAGCAATGATGTCTGGGTTGACACCTCCCATTTAATTTATAGACAGAATTTTTCTGCTGCCGTTTTTTGAAAAACCACGCTGCAAGTAGAGCTGCAGCCAGTAACAAGCAGAGAAGAATCACAATTACTGCTATGATAGCACCTTTACTGGACTTGGGACAATCCTCTCCCTCACAGGGCTCGGAAGTGGGAACAGGCTTTTCTCCAACACCCTGGGTGAGATTTTCTTGCTCAGCTAATTCCTGGGACGCTGTGTCAGTAAAGATGTCTGGAGCTGGTGCAGTGGTTGCTACTTGTTCTGAGTAGGTGGTTGTTTCTTTTGGTTCTGTGTGTGGAGTGTAATCGGAGGGGCTGACCATCACAGAGGTTTCTGACATGGATGTTTTTAAGTTGGTTATGTCAAAGAGTATTGTTGTACTGGGCTCCTGAGTCACAGTTTCCAGAGATGCATCTGGATGTTCCCCTGCGGCATCATCATAACCTCTGCTCACACTAAAGTTCTCCAGACCACTTGCTGATGTAAGTGATGCTGGTGTTTCTTTAGCCCCTTCATCATCTATCCTTGTTGTTGCTGCCACAATCTGTGTTAAACCTTCCTCTGGAGCTGGGCTGCCATTTCCTGATTTTCTTACTTCAACATGATTTGGTTGATCAGTCGTGAGGATGATGTCGTCTTCTGTTCCCATTGAACTATCAACTTTATCACCCTCCTCTTCCTCTACTTCCTCCTCTACCACCTCTTGTGTTACTGCATAACCATCTAACCATGATTCATCAGTAATGGCAACTTCATCTATCACTGTCTTTGTATCATTAGCTGTGAGAATGGGTCCAATGGGGAAATCCTCACTGTCATAAAACATTTTGGCACCAGGTTCATCATAGACTGTCTTCCCTCCAATGTGGTTATCACCTTCAGGAAACTGTGCTTTAGTAGAATCATCTGTCTCTTTCTCCAATTCAGGTTCACTGAAAGTTTCTGATGGAAACCAAAACAAGTTTTTTTGGCTTAGAAGTGACACGGGGGACTCAGTTGGTGTCCTGCTTCCTTTTTCAGAAGTGTCTCTGTCCTGAGTGCTTCCAGTTCTTCCTTCCTCTGAACTTTTACTGAACGAAAGCTGTTCTTGCTCCTGCTCAGTTTCTTCCTTGCCATTTTTATGTTCATTCTCAACAACAGGTATTGATCTGTCATCAGGAAAGTTATCTTCATAGTCAATGTGTGCCTCGGTTTCATCTAGAAACATTAAAAACAAACCACAGAAGCCAACATTTAACTTCTCCAGGAAAGCACTGGGATGATTTGTTGCAATAAGCCAAGAAGAAAGGTGCAATGAAGAGTGACTTTTAGACAGTATTTTTCATTCTATGTTATTGTTTATTTGAAAGGGACATGGTCCGCCATAAGCTGATACTCAATATAAAATTTTTTAAAAAATCAGATAAGTGCCAGCACTAACTGCTAGTATCTTACCTTTCCAGATTTAAAAATGTATGTAAATAACTTACTGTCTGCAGTTAGAGGACATCCTTCAGTTGCTTATACTTCTCTAAAAACTTGCTCTCCCTAATATGACTCTGCCAGAAAAGAATTTCATCACATTCAAGCAAGAAATGCACATGGAGAGGAAGGTATAGCAAAAAGCAATCAAGTACTAATTGACCATTAAGAAAACCCAAACCAAACTAAACTAGAAGTTTTACAGCAACTTCGTCCCTTTTGAGCCAGATGACTTTAAAGGATTATGTTCAGTACCTTATGTTCAAAATATCAAGGTACATATTTATCATTAAACTGCTTTTCTTCAGTTACCTTAGTGTTGCAATGTTACACCACCTGGGGCCAGAACTGTCTTTCTCATTCCATGAGAGCTCTTCAAAGCTGCCTGAGGAAGACCCCATCACCAAAGCTGACATTTTCATCTGGGATCCACCTCAATTTCTGCCTGAGTCACATTCTCCTTGGTGACTGCTATCCAGACTTCTGGCAGAACCATATTTGGTCTACTCTTAAAAAAGATTAGAAATATTGTCAAACCAGTCTGACCAAAAACGCTTAGCAGTGATACAGCTCCCACCAGCTCACTTTTTGCCAGAACAGCTTAAGCCAGGTGCCAAAACAGAATGAGCATTAACAAAACGTATTTTCCTTGGAATAACATCTGGGTCTACCAGAAATCAAAGCAGTTATGCTGAGGAAACCAAAATGTGTGACAAAATGTGCAGAGAGTTAATATCTCTGTGAAAGCTATCATCCTGTAGAGCAGGTCTTCTCATCTCACAAGAAGGGTTTTGGGGGAAACCTGTGCGTGATAAAACAGTGCCAACAACTGACCTCTCTCTCTCCTGTTCCCAGTGTCCTCATCTGCTTGTGTAATCCTCTACATCCTCTCCATCTTCTCCAAAGAAGAAAAGACTTCTGTCTGGTGCAAGGGCAACTTAACAATCAGGGGAGTGGAAAGCTTCCTGGTAGGACTCTCACTTTTCTAGTTAATCCTAAAATCTTTTCCAATAGTTTTTCAGAATTTTGTAAATGAATAGAGACTAACTCTGAATACTAAAGCATTTTAGCAACCTATTCATGAAGCTCTGCATGGCACTGGCCATTGCTATGTTGCACTTCTACTAGCCATCAAACACTAGTCTCACTTTGTCCCTTGTCTTGCTTTCCCTTAAGAACTTTTCTACCTGGATGGCACTCTCTTTGCATGGAAGTGGTGTCTCAAACCATTTTGTTGTCCATCCAGACTCCTGCTAGAAGTTGATACCTGGCATGCCAGCTTCACTAAAGTCCAGTGTCTCTCAGGACAGCCCATAGGTGTCTGTTGCATGTATATGAACTGGAAGATTGTAATTTGAGAAGTCACCATTTACCAGCTGTTATAGTCATTGTTTTCTTTTTTGAAATGCATCATCACATCAGTCTGTCTTCACTTATCTGTCTCTTGTACCTCTATTTTTGCCACTCATTTACTTCTCAGACTGCAATAATTCAGCTGAAATTGAAACATGAATTTTTATGTTATGGTGTTCTAGGGCAGGCCCACACAACCATGGGAAAAAATTACATCCACGAAAAAAAATTACATCCACGAAAAAAAATTACATCCACATGCTTGTGGTTTTTTCCTCTAGACCTATTATTTAGTTAGCAATATGAACGAGCAGCTAGTATTCATCTCATTGATCAGTACCTTATGTACTGGTCAATGAGATGACCAGTATCATCCGTACTCATTCACCAATGAGTATGGATCACTGTGAATGCTTAACGACTGCAGTAACATGCTTTTTATAGAATTTGAAGCTCTTTCTCTTTAGTGCCTCTCCTGCCATATAGTTTCAGCCTATGGAGGCACATCAGGAAAAAGCATCTGCCTAAGAAAATACGAGTCCTCAGTCTATCAGAACATATTAAAGGTTTGTTGAAACATCAATCAAGTCTCCATCAAACCTACTGTCTCTGGGCCTGATCCTGCCTGTAGAGAAATGAATTGATGCTTTCTTAATGCTGAGCTGAGGAAAGAAAAGGCCCATTGTAGTCTAAAGGGAGCCTGAGATTGGAGCTCATTATGCACTGCTCGTCACTGCATAAGGGAGTCTTGTTCCTTCTGACAATTAGATTGTGGCCCAAGTTGTAAAGCTGCTATAACATATTTTCATATGCAATCTCACGTATTTCTATAGTTTATAGCAAAGACTACCAACATAACTAATGTTAGCTTACAGGATGCCAGAATGAAAGCAGCTATTGAGCTCTCTAACCATCAAAGGAAATACAGACCCCCTTACTCTGAAGCTTTGGTTTATATGATCCTGGATTGACTTACACAGTAACAATACTCTGTTCTTTCTTCTGGGCCTCTGACCTTCAAACGGGTCTTGGACTTAGTATTTAGTGACTTTGTGTTACCACGACAATCTTTTAAGTTCACTGTGAGCTTGATTTTCAAGAACAGATTGCACAATTTTTGCGCTTCTTTTTGCTCACCTCTTCACCATTTTCTTGAACTTTTGAGCTCCCTGAATCTTAGATACTGAAGAGCAACAATCAAAGTAGATTCAGCTCCACCTCTTATCCAAATAGTTGTAACCATTACTTATATCCATTTTTAAAACAGCTAGTAACTGATTTAAAAGTGATTGCATCTTCCTTTCTACCCAGGCAGGTCTGGTTTTAAGAAGAGCCAGCACTAAAATTAATTTATCCAAGACCAGAATCTTTCTGTATTTGGTCATTGTTACATCTTACCCCTACCCTCCTCTGGCAGACTCAAGGATCAGTGAGTTTTACCCGATGTCTAAGGGATTACTGAGACTAAAATGAACCTTTTACAGCAACAGATGCTGCAATGACATACTACCAAAGACATGAAGCTCAATTTAAAGGTAAAATCCTTTTAATTTTTAATTAAATATTTTTGGGAGGCCATGGTCCTTAAGAGCTTTCATCTCCTTCAATTTTTGATCCTAATGTGAAAACAGTGACCAAACATAGAGACAGGCAAATACAAAGAGCTTGGTTTTCCACCCTCTAGGATCAGTTTAATTTTTCTTCTAGATAGCATATTGGCATCCAAGCTCTATTTTGAGTGTTGCTATTTTGGACAACCATAAAGTGCACTGCATATTTTGTGGATGTATTTTTGGAGTACAGGAAATTGAAACTTGATTCTATGTAGACCATCATTATAAACATTTCTCCTCTATAAAAACATCTTTATTCTAAGAATCTCAAAGTAGCTACAGCAAGCATTAACAAGAGAGCATCTGTATTTAAGGGTGGGAAGGAAAAGAGCATGTAGACCAATTTGCCCAAGATCGGTCAGATTTGTGAACTGCAGCATCTCAATGAATTATCCATTTGACTTGGATCAGGCACATAAACACACTTTTGTCAAGTCAACCAGAGTACGCTAGACAGATATTGTGTTGCTTTTTGTCTTTTGCAATAACTACAAGAAGGAGGATAATTTTTATTCCAGCAGAAAGCCTGTTAATATAAATAAATAACCCATCAATTTTTTTTTCTAATTCCGTTTGGCAGAATCAGTTCATGCCAGATCGATACTTTACACTACTCTAATACAACTGCTCACTGACAGGCCTGAAAAGGGAACTGAAGCTTGTCATAAGAAATGTTTTGACAGGCCAAGGAGATATTTTTCCTGATTTTATTTTTCTGCCACAACTCTTCCTTTGCACTTCCAGAATAATAAAAAAAAAGCATTCCCAAAGAAGATAAAAGGTCAAAGACATTTTGTTTGATTCCTTTAATTTGAAAAAAAAAAACAAACCAAAAAAAACTAAAAGACATAAAAATAAATGGTGTTGGTCAGTTGTGCTTACAGACCACATGAATGTGAATCAACTCAGAAAACAATGTTTGAAGTAATGAGAATAAACAAAGTAATGAGAACCAGGCAAAATGACTGGGAGCTGCAGATAAAACTATCAGAGATGGTCAGAGTTAGCCGAATCCAACTCTGAACACACTAGACAACTATCGAAGTGTTGACACTGGAGAGATTCCTTCAATGTGCAGAAGAAATGGACCCTTCTGCCACAAGCATATAGCTGGAAAAACCCAAAGCAACCCAGAGAAAAGGATAAATAAATTATATTCTTTTGAGCCAGTTTTAGGGCAGAGATGGGTCAGGATTTCCCAGCTTTATCATCTGCCTTCTCTTTGAGGAAGCAAACTCTCGTGGATGCAGCCTAATGCAATGCAGCCCTGACCTCCCTCACAGAAGTGTTGGTGTTAATGCTTCTGATATTGAACCTGTAGTTCATTTTGGGAAAAAAATGAATGTCATTTAGCAATGGACACTTTAGTCTCTGTACCTGCAGGACAGCCAGGGCACGGCACGTATACATCTGCTTTCAGACCTTACTACAATGCCAATCTTCAGGATATATTTTGTGAAACAAATGCATTATTTCTGCAAAAATAGAAAAAATAATAAACTACAAAATTTCCCTGTTCTCTGCTTAAGGTTGCCTTGTTGGGTTGAATATCCTTGTGTTTTCAGCTAGAACACAGCATCTTTTCATGATGAGGAATTACAGGGAACACTAACTGTACAGAGCCACTTTTTTTTCTTAAAAAACATCTTGATAAAAAATTACAGTCTATTATCTGTTGTGCACAATGTACATTAAAGCTATTTTTAATGTACTGTTTTCTTAATTTCCAACATAGTTTACTGTATCAAAAATCCACTTAATATAACCCCAAAATCATTTTGTTCAGTTTTGCCCATAGCCAAGTTTTGCCAGGTATTTTGGGTTATATGTGTATTGATGCATAATTTTTTTTCATTGAATTTACAAATCTGCGAACTGTATGGTCGTACACTTGCATCCTGGGTGCCAGAAAGGACTGTGTCTCTTCTTACTGGATCAAAACAGAGAGGAAAGATGATCATAAAGTGACTTCAAAGAACACTTGAGGGCTATATTTAGACACTGCTGTGATGATAGTTCTTTGACTCTGTATTTGCTCTGGGTGAACAACTGGGAGGGTAAAGCAGGCCCAGTGTTTTTACACAAACAAGAAAAACATACAATTATTGTGGTTTAATCTGATATTCTGCCTAGACAGCTGGGCATTATAATGTGGAAGGTACCAATTAGAGCAATGATACACAGGTATAGCATCCACAAATCTCAGAAAGCTTTATGAAATTAGATAAATGTCATCACTCTTTCACAGGTGAGGTGGAGCAAGCACCAGAGAGCAGTATAGTGACTTTTCCACAGTCTCAGAGGCAGCGAAAGATATAGGAACAGGCTTATATCTCAATCCTCTGACAGTAGTTTTCTCCCTGTGGTCCCACCGTGTTGGTGTAAGAGCATCGGGAACACTTCACATTTCCAGTTACTCACCCAGCGCAGATGCAGAGCAAGAGAATTGTATCATCTTACCAACCTCTAAACATAGCACTTAAATGTTCATTGAGGAGGCTTCACAAACATCTTTCCACTGCTGTCAGCTGGTTAGGACAGAAGTAGTCCACTCTGCCAACAGGGATATAAATTCTCTGTTAAGTCCCATCATTAACCTTCATGATAGGAAGGTGCTCTCTTGCCTCAAAGCACTTATAAAGCAGTGTGCATGCTGAATTCTGGAGTACTTAATAATTATTCTTCTCTCTCCTATGACCCCAAAATATCAGTCAACTGTAAATCAGGTTTCTTTTGATTAAATTCCTTTCTTTTTTTTGCTGTTCTTTTTCATTGAATTCTTACTTTTTAAAAAATAATGAACCCTAGTATCACACATTTCAGTCTTCCTGTAAAGTCTTTTTTCTTAAAAATTTGTGATCAGGAAGATTAAATATATAATTATTAGTTGAACACTTATTGTATTTTCTATCCCAGGTCCTTAAAGTGTTTGAAAAACAATAATTAGAGGAAACCCCTCAGCATGAAGACTACATTGAAATAATTTAAAAAATCATAATCCACAATATCACATCTGCCCCAAGTTTCAGTGTTGATGTTTGTGACTTTACAGCCACACTTTCCTATTTCTTTTAAAAATATTTTTCTCTCCCCTGTGGCTCCCCTGTGTGAAAGGCTCAGGCAGAACATGGGAAACAGACCATTTATCCAGAGGAAACAGTGAAATGCAGAATTCAAATGGCCTGATTCTTTCCCTTCCTTACTTTGATGTAATACAGTTTTATTTCTGTGTGTGGTGAAGTTAGCATTTCCACTAATCTCAGTGAAGGAAAAAGAAGTATCAATTTAGTGCAGATTATAGGAGATTCACACACACTAGGTTAGTTGAAGATGTCCGTGTTTATTGCAGGGGTGTTGGACTAGATGACCTTTAAAAGTCCTTTCCAACCCAAACAGTTCTATGATTCTGTATTCTATGATCAGATGTAGATACTCTTTTTTCTGTCTTTCCCTCCATGCTCCTCCTCTATGCCCTGCAGTATTTCACTTAATCATCTGAACTACTGTTTGTAAGAACAGTTTCAGAAGATGAAGTAGTTCAGAAAAATGTTGGTTCTTTTATTTTGGGTTTTTTCTTATATCTCTACCATTTGGATGGGTTTGAAAGTCTGGTTCCCAGGTGCACAGACATGACCTATTTCTACTAAGAACAAGTTTGACTTTTTCTCATGATTATCCATTGCCTGATGGTATATATTCATAAGTAAAAATAACTCTTTGCAAGCCCCTGGGCATTAAGGAATATATAGGTTCTGAAATTGATATGCTAACTCCAGCCCATACAGATAGCTCAGCTACCCAACGGCTGCCCAATCCTTTGCTTAAAATTTATCTGTTTTGCTAGAAATAATATCTTAAAACTGTGATTTCTCCCTGAAAAAAATAGTAAGATACTCTGATGACTGTTCTTAAATATTGGAGAAAATGGTGAGTTTATGCACTGAGCAGGGTAACAAGAGAAAGAAGAATTCAGATTACATCCACACCTGAACTCATGGTACTATTTAGCTTATATTTAAACACGGGCAAAGTTAAAAGCTTACTGAAGAATAACTAATATCTAAAGGTGGATTTTATTGAGGGTTTAAATTAAGGAAATATCATTCTTATAATTTTCCAGAGCTTTTACATTTTGCCTGGGATTTTGGTTCGGTTGGTTTTTTGTTTGGTTGGTTGGTTTGGTTTGGGGGTTGTTTGTTTGGTTTTTGTTTTGGTTTGGGGTTGTTTGTTTGGTTTTTTGTTTTGGTTTTTGTTTTGGTTTGGGGTTTTTTTGGTTTGGGTTTTTTTGTTTTTTTTTGTTTTGGGTTAGATTTATTTTGGGGGTTTTTTTGTTTTGTTTTTTTAAATAAAAATCTGTTTTCTTGAGTCAAGTCATTTGATAAAAAAATCCACTTTCATTCCTTTTAATGGGATAAATATCTGGGCAGCTACTATTGTGTTTGTAGACAAAAACTTGAGTACAAGTTAAGAATTGTTCGCCTTTTTATTGGGGCAAATTAAAAAATGATACTTTTTTTTTTTTAAACTTTTCCGTCTCACTGCTTAGCTATAACATAAAATGCATCTCTGCCACTCTGTCACAGATGACTTCTATGGCACAGCAAGTCTCTTAACTTACATAAGTCTTTAATTTTCCCAGATTAACAAAAGGAAGCAGCATTTATCGTATGTGTAAGGCCAGAAGTTCAAAAGGATTAAAGCTAAAGGAAAGGGCTAGTAAAAGCTCAGATCATCCCATCTAGCTTCTTACAGGGCTGTGGAAATAGTCAAGAACTTTAAAGGTTTTTTTATATTGAATGGATTCTGCTGCCCAGAAAGAACTTTCGTGCTCATATAAGTATGAATAAGTTATCCTTTCCTGTGGTTTATTGGAGATGTCTACCAATGGGATTGTAGAACACTTCTTGGACCAGATAAGGCATTGACCTTCACAGGGACTGCCCAGGACACACCCCTGCGAGCATGGAACAATCTTGGTTAGGCCGATGGGAGGATGTGACCTCCTGGAGGGATGCTCTCTATGTTGGGTGAGCTTACCTTTGACACAGGCCTGGACCTGCCCGTACCACTCTCCGCAGCTGTCACAGAGTAGCGTGAACGCTGTCTCCTTGTTGCCCATGATGTACCCCTGGGCACAAACATACAGCAGCTCATCCCCCATTTCAAAGCCAGTGTGACCATGCAGGATGGTGTGGGGGAAAGATGGTGGGTCCCCACAGGGCTTGTCTGAAATGTAAAAAGAGACGAGATTGTAGAGACCTTACAATAGTCTTCTAATATGGTGCTAACAGCGGTGCTGAAAGAGTTATCCTGATAATAAACTTATACATGTCCACAGAAATCTCATCTGTTTAATGCTGTTATGCTCCTTCACAACTATTTTCAGCTGTATTTGAGAAGGTATACATTGGGCTATAACTGTGATGCAATAACCTTGAAAAGGCTTTTGTTCAGAAGCTGAAAAAGTGACCTCCAAGACTGTGCTCCTAAACATGTAGAAGGAGAAACATCTTCAGAAAGCACCCTTGCTATATTGCTGGAGTGTACTTTCAGGGCATCATCAGCACAAGGTCTTACAAGCAACAGTTCCATTGACACCAGTTCGTGTCCGGTGTTTTCAGTGGGCAATAGTTTTGACAGAAAAGCTTTTCTCAGTCTCCTTTTTGCAAAAGCTCAGGCTTTCCTGCTTTTGCCCTGGGGACAGTCTGCAAAATCCTTCCGAGTTCCCAGCTGCTGCTTTTCCCATCATCTACCCTCTTCTGACCCAGGCATAGGTAAACACATGCTTGTTTAGAAATATGATGTATTTATGTTGCCAGCTGTTTACTTTGTAGTGAAATGAAAATCCTACAATAAACATCTACCCTCTGTGAAAGTTCCTTTGGATCAGGCTTTCAGAAGTCATCTCATAGACCTGACTAACCACTTCTCAACTGGGTATGCTGAAAAAGAGCTGCCACTAATATAAGGGACGTGCTACTGAAGTCAAAGCTTTGAAGTCTGTTCTCTATACTGTACACACACACACACATACATATAAATATATATATAAATATATAAATATATATATATACTGTCTAACACCTTCAGAAGTTAGTGGGAGTCATGCACACACACTGACAGAAAAAAACAAGCTGTTGAGGCTACACAAAGCTCAGTTTATGAACAGTCTTATGGAGGTTTGGCATCTGAGGAAGTGAGGCGCAGTTAGCAGCTAATGCCTTTCCTGTGAACTGGTCAGATGAATAGAGATTGATGTGGATGAAAGGAATAAAAAATTATTTTACTGCCTCATAGGAAGGCTACAGAGCCCTGCATTTCATGTACTTTATTTATATAGCTACCTCTATTGGTACGAATGGGAGCTGTGTGTCTGCTCTGAGGGAAGTATTGATCCCAAGGTTGTATGGGACAATTATACATCAGAGGATACATCAGAGGGTATTCTTATCTACAAAGCCTTGCTTCTCGATCCTGTGGCCAGACGAAGCATAAAAGTAACATCTTAGTTAACTATGGCAAACACATTCAAAAATCACATTATAACCTTCCAGGAAAGAAGAAAGCTGGAGGGATCTTTACAGTAAAATTTAACAGACATGGTAACAGAATTATGAGAGCCTGAAAGAGAGATCTGGATGGTGTTGAATAGAAAGAAAAGTAGAGATTTTAAAGACATTCATGGACCAACACTCTGTGGGGAACTTTCGACTCTCTTGTGACTTTGTAAGGTCATGCCTTTGCTGCAGAGCATATTGAGTGACAGCATGGACAAGCTTAAGTGAAAGCTGATATCTTGCAAAGACAAACTCAAGTTCCCACATTCATTTTGCTGCTGTCCTCTCCTGCGTAAGATGGACAGGAATTTTCTGGGTTACGGCATCTTATGGCTCCTCATCCTGCTGCAGTCTTGGTTGCTATGACAATTCCTGCTCAGCCTTTTGCCAAACATGTTCTTTCTGGTACATGGACAGAAGTGACACTGGCACAGCAACTCATCAAACTGAGCCACTTCTGGGGACAGGCTTCAGGTTTTTGTCTGCAGCCTTTGTACTAGGAGCTGGAAGAGCATGGGCTTATTTGTAACAACAATCTGTGCTCAGTGCTGGCATTCGGGCCATTTTCTTGCTGGAAGAGAGGAGGCAGATCTGGGCCACAAAGCGTGACAGAGGGTGTGTTGGCAGCAGCAGCTTGTCATGTAGAGGAACAGTAGTGCTCTTTGTTAAGGCGACCACAGGGGTTGCCTGGAGTGGTGATGCTGGTAGATGAGGACTGGGCTCCTCCAGTGCTGAACTCTCCATCTGGAGCTCTGATTTTCCCCTCATCTATCCTCCCATAAACCAGCATGTTTTCTTAGTGCTTGCTAAAAAATTAGCCCACTGCATGCTTCCCAGTAGAAGAGCATGATCTTCTTGATACTTGAGGGCCATCCAACAGGTTCCGTGCTCTGCCTGCTTGTGTCCGAGATCACATCTCAAACCTGGAAATTTGGAATTGGTTTCTGGACATCATGACCCTTCCTGAGTTTTCTACATATTGACACTGAGGTCAATCACGTAACACGGCTCCATACGTTGATAACTGACCTCCAGTAAACAAGGGTGGATTGGGCTACAGAGCAAGACAGGACAGCACAGCACAGATATAAGAAAATTAGTTAAAGTACATAGAAGATCCTCCTGTCAGCAGTAGTTTGGCACAGAATGTCTCCTTGAGTGAAAACCACCACTACAGTCAAGAAAGACCTTAATATACACGTGTAGAAATCAGGACAGAGTCAACATCTGAAAAATGATAGGGAACAAATGGCACAGCAAAGATATAAGTGTTGAGCAAAAATATGTTAGGGCTAGTAATAGCTCTGGTTACAGACCTCTTAGAGACTCATTAACTATTTTTTACATGGGACTGAAGAGGCTTCCTGTTAATTGAGTTAGCATATTCAGTCAATTACTGTTTTTTAGGAAAAATGTCTCCTCAGAATACTGGCTTTATCTCCAAATCTTGTGTGGAAAGGAGTTTGTGACAAGTGACATCTGGCAAAGAGTTGACACACGTCACTTTAAGAACACAGCATCTCTCCTCCCCTATCTGGATTCCTCCAGAAGCATCTTTACTTGAATTACAAGCATCCCATTAGTTTGTAAAGACTCTTTTTGAGATGTCTTGATAGAGCACTGCCTACAGAAAGGGCAGCCTAAGACCAATGCAGAAAAAATCAACATGAAAAAGATGCAGATTTCAGCTTCCATATCACCTGGCAGAACTGGGAATTTACTGGAATCTGTTTATCTGCAGTCGCTACTTTAACTGTGTACCATGCTCTGAAAGCTGACGTGAGACATCCGCTTCGACATAAAGCATCCCCTGTTACAACTGTTCAATTCAGTAGAGTTTTTCCAGAGAGACCACTGGAATTTGTAGGATGTCATCTCGTCATTAAGAAATTAGAAAATACAACTCTTAACAGTCAGCCCTGTGAAAGAGATGAGTGAAGATGTTTGTTTTCCTTCTTGATTGCAGAGACCTGAAAGTATATGGAATTTTTCTATTTGGATAAAAGTACTGCGAAAATAGAGTACGAAAAAACAAACCTCAATTATAGCCAATGTAAGTGTTGCTTGTAAGCTACCAATGTTGGGATGCCAATACCTCTTACATCAGTAGGACTTGCAAGACTTTATTAGTTTATATGACATCACCATGTAGGTGGGAATTCACTGTCAGGTATATGCAAAGCTGGAAAAAGAAAGCTGTAGCACTAAAAAAATGAAAAATTTTATATCCACAGCAAAGCATGACAAATACAAAGAAATAGTTCAAATATTACACAAAGCAAACTGCAGTTTGATTGCTCTTGTAAAGTACATTTAATATATTTTCTGTAAAGAACACACTAATTTCTTTTTTTATACTGTTGAAAGAGGTAAACTGAAATATGTATGTAAACCATCAAGCTTTGATGGATATCTGGAGCCAGGAGTCATGTTTAAAAAAGTTTGATTTGCATTTATGCTGCGCTCTACTACAAGTTGCTGCCTGTTTAGTTTTCCTGTGGTGGCAGCAAATCAAAGCCTTATGGAACAGAGATCTTACTTGTTGCTTGTAAATATCAGTGGGTGACTGAAAGAAAGAACCAGTAAAACTTGGGAGCTATTAACAAAAAGGTCTTTCCTTTGCTGCATTAAAAAAAAAAAGAAAGAGAACCAAAAGTATTATATACATATGAAATTGAATGATGTGTGGTATTACAAAAAAAAATAAGACAGGCAGGAAAAATTCCAGCTTTCTGGTTTTCTTCCTTTATCTACTTTATGCTTTGAGGCATTTTCTTATGAGCTTTGATAGAGAATAAATACACACTCTGTGTTACAGATCTGACTTTATGTGTGATGCATTTTCAGAATAGGCAAAATCTAATATACTTTTAGGTATATTTTGGCACTCAGGACTAAGAGAAAAACTTTCTGATCTCAGCGCATCCTGAGCTGTTGCAGAGTTATCTTGCTGACTCTAATGGCTGCATAAAACATCACTTTACGAGAAACAAAGACACATTTCTCTGTACTGTGAAAACTGCAGCTATTCTCACAACATTCATAAAACATTACAGCTACATCTTTCCTTGTCAAACACAACTCTTAATACCAATTCCATGTAAAACAACTCTTAGCCTTAAAGGTTGCTGTGATTTTTCTGTGTGTACAGAATAAAAACCATTTCAGAAACAAAACAAAAAAAAGTCTCTCTCTCTTCAGGATTTTTATTTGCCTGACGTTGCAAGTGCACCCAGAGCTCTTGCTAGCACCTGACCGCTGCCCCTGCTGTTGGGGCATGCTGGGGTGTGTGCTTAAGGAATTTAACTGAACTCATTTGCATGCTAAATGTTAATTGAGTCAAGGTCAATTATAAATCAAGGCCCAAGAAGGAAATTTTTGTGATGGTCTGTACTATAAGTTTCATGGTGGTTCGAGATGCCCTTTGCACAATCCTAAGAACTGCAAATAGAGTTTGAAGAGCTACTATCATCAACTGAAGAAGAGAAAGCTGATGTGACTCTTCCCTCTGTCCATCCTCAACCAACCAGTCTGTCTGAACATCTAGCTCAACTCAGCCAAGTCTGACAAAGAAGGAAAGCTGCTGAGTGTCTGCTCATTGTGGTGAGATGAGTTTAAAAGAGGAAAGAGCCAAAGCCAGATGTCTTTTCCATCGGGATGGGCACATGTAGGACTCAGCTCTTACTGTTCCCGCATGCAGTTCTGGCCCACTGATGAACATTGCGTATGGATGGACAAACCAGCGTGTTCATATCTCCAAGGCAGCCACAGCACAGTGCCTCTCTGCCCAGCCAGCCATTCCCAGACCCAGCAAGGAGCTGAGAGTGCCCTGAGGGTGGGGAGATGATGGGTAGAGGGTGAGGTTGAGAAATACTGGAGAAACAATCAGATGAATTTCATATGGGATTGCAGATTATTAGTTGGACGAATACAGAAGAAATGAAAGGGCTGGGAGAAATTAATATGAGGACATAGGTCTCAGTGTAAGAAACTTGCGATTTATCAGTTTCAACAGGGTAAAACAACTTGCCTTTTGTACTTAATACTAACGTATTTCTGTATTATAATTGAAATTGTAATGCTTAAAAGTGATGCCCACTTTTCTAAAAGAAAAAAATATTCGTGAGGTTTCATGAATGAACCACTCATTAATCCAGACTTAGATGTGTAGTTATGAGCCACATGTACAAAACATCAAAACAGATATGCTATGTATGAGGTTGTGGCACAGGGTTTGCTGTTGCTGCTTCTTACTGGGCATTTGCTAAAACTAGAAGTGGCACCCCTGAGGTGTAGGATATTCTTTCATCGGTCAACAGCTCTGTGGTGGCTTGTGTGTCACTGTGTGTTATACTTGCATGTTAAAGCTGTTTCCTTTCTGGACTTTGCTCTTTCCATACCATCTACAAACTAGGCTCTGCCACACAACTTCTCTTAAGCCTTTCTATTCAAACATTGGCTCTGCATCCCAAATTTTTTATATTTTCAAAGAAGAGGGAACCTTACAGTCATCCAGAAATGTTTCTGTGTGTAAGAGCTGTTTGGTGAGTGCATTGGAATGATCATCCCATTCTGTCATCAGAAAATTCCCTGCCTTGTACAAAACAAGTTGTTAAAAAAATTGGTTATTCTTTGTAAATGACCTGAATTTCCCCTGAATTTTAACTATGCAGTTTCTGAGTCCTGTGTAGTACTCTTTTACAGCATAACCTTGTCTGTTATGTTCTTATCTTCACCTTTACTACCCCGTTATCATGAGCAGTAACCAAATGCAAAAGGTAAACAGAGCTCCTTCTCCACGATCCGGCATCTACGTGTAAGCTCAGATGGAGCAGGTTGGGACAGACAGGGGAGCACAAGGGCACAATGGAACAATAGTGGCCAGACCAATGATTTCAGCATCCCACAGCTGTCCCACCCACTGCAAGGTTTTTCTCGAGGGGGGAATGATGACAAAAGAGAGATTTGAAGGAAGACAATGAGAGAGTTTTGCAGATGTTTACAGGGAGCTGCTCCTATATGTGAGGAGCAGCATGGAAGAAAGCACAAAGGTGCTTGTGTGACAACATTAGCAACTGGGTGACAGAGCTGGCATTGCTCGCAGCAACACGGAGCCTGGATTTGATATCACAAGGATTATTTGAGAGGATGGTCAAACTCTACTAAAATCACTCTTTCTAAAAAGAATTATTTGGTACACACCAAATATGCATCACCTCTGCTACATTTCACTTCAGCTGTATTTTCATCACCGCTGCTGCCACTGACTGTTTATTAGAATGACCCCTGTGTGGTGAACTTACTGTTTCTCAGTAAGTGTCCGCTTGCCCTTGCTTTTCTTGGAAATGGGATACAAAAACTCACTGCGGACATCAACAGTCTGCTTCAGGGGTTCCCAAACTTCTTTACACAATCAGTAACAATTTACTTTTTGCCTTCAGAATTCATCTTTGCTTGTGGGTTCTGGCATTTTAATGTCAAAAAATCAAAGCATCAACTTACATTGGAAATAGTTTGGTTTCCAGAATCATCCATGATCTATCAGAGTCCCTGATAGGCTGGTCTACACTTGTTAACAAAGAAAAAAAACCCAAAACAGCACTAAAATGGAGGCAATGGCGTTATTTGCATACAAATGTTGTGTACTGATGGATATCATAGAATCATAGAATCATAGAATCAGCTGGGTTGGAAAGGACCTCTGAGATCATCAAGTTCAACCCTTGATCCACTACCACCGTGATTACTAGACCATGGCACTAAGTGCCACATCCAATCTCATCTTAAAAACCTCCAGGGACGGAGAATCCACCACTTCCCAGCCCATTCCAATGCCTGATTAGCCCCTCTGTAAAAAATTTCTTCCTAATATCCAACCTAAACCTCTCCTGGCACAGCTTAAGACCATGCTCTCTTGTCTTGCTGATAGTTGCCTGGGAGAAGAGACCAACTCCCACCTGGCTACAACCTCCTTTTAGGTAGTTGTAGAGAGCGATGAGGTCTCCCCTGAGCCTCCTCTTCTCCAGGCTAAACAACCCCAGCTCCCTCAGCCTCTCCTCATAGGACCTGTGTCTGAGTCCCTTCACCAGCCTTGTTGCTCTTCTCTGGACCCGCTCCAGCACCTCAATATCCTTCCTGAACTGAGGGGCCCAGAGCTGGACACAGTACTCCAGGTGTGGCCTCACCAGCACTGAGTACAGGGGAAGAATCACTTCCCTGGTCCTGTTGGCCACACTGTTCCAGATACAGGCCAGGATGCCATTGGCCTTCTTGGCCACCTGGGCACACTGATGGCTCATGTTCACCTTCCTGTCAGTCCAAACTCCCAGAGCCCTTTCTGCCTGGCTGCTCTCCAGTCACTCTGTGCCCAGCCTGTAGCGCTGCATGGGGTTGTTGTGCAGGACCCAGCACTTGGCCTTGCTGAACTTCATCCTATTGGAATCAGCCCAACTCTTCAGTCTGCCCAGGTCCCTCTGCAGAGCCTTCCTGCCTTCCAGCTGTTTGACACTCCCCCCCAGCTTAGTGTCATCTGCAAATTTGCTAATAGTGTACTCAATCCCCTCATCCAGATCATCAATAAAGGTATTAAGCAGAACTGGGCCCAACACTGATCCCTGGGGGACACCACTAGTGATCGGCTGCCAACTGGATGCAGCACCATTCACCATCACTCTCTGGGCCCGGCCCTCCAGCCAGTTCTTAACCCAGCACAGAGTGCCTCTGTCCAAGCTGTGGGCTGACAGTTTTTTCAGGAGAATGCTATGGGAGATGGTGTCAAAGGCTTTTCAACAATGTGGTGTTTTGGGGCTTGAAATCACCTTGCTAAATTACATTCTGCTACAGTGCTGAGTAAGAGAGATGTTTCAGGCACGTCCATCATATTTGTGCCAGATATATTCCTTTTCATAAAGTATGTTCTGTGAACACCAAAATGGATTCTGCTGGGTCAGTAGTGCTGTTTGAACTTGCTAAACTGCAGCAAAGACAAAAGATAATGCAATTTATTTGCTGCAACAATGTCTTTGCAGCAGTTGGCTCACTTCATGGGTGATTACTATAAAGATTTATTTTTTACGTTTCCTTTTTGCTTCTCACCAGTAGAAAAAATTGAATGCAAAACTTTTAATGCTACAAGATAGCAATGACTGTGAATTATTTCAAAAGTATATCAGTGCTGACCTTCATCCTTTACACAAAAAGCACCATATGGGTCATTCACAAAGGGATCGGTTTCAATTTTAACGTCAATGGCTTTCACGCTCTGCTGTTTGCTGCCCGTCTTTCTGCATATAATTGTCCTAAAATAAAGAAGAAGAAGAAAAAATAATCAGAAATTTCTGGAGTTGTACATGCAGATGAAATTTGAAGATTTTGTATCAGAGTAGTCAGGCTTTAGCCTCAGCTTAACTGTTTCATAGATGGCACATAAGAGATTAGTGTGGGAAGATCTATGAAAAGAAGCCAAGGGATAAATAGAAGTAATTAAAAAAATGTTTGCTGTAGATCATTTCAAGGCAAAGGAAGCAATAAGGAATGTTTATCTTATTATATTCTGTAATACTTCTAAATATCAGACCTAGACCCTGAGTATTTAAGGCCAAATTCTTCTCTCACATTTCAGCAGTACATATTCCCACCAATGACACCTGGATAGAAATGAATGGAAAACTCAAGGTTTGATCTGAAAGATTATAAATCATTAGCATTTTACATTAAAGAACCATTAAGTTGCATATTTAACTGCTCAAAGGCTAACACAGGCAAGCTCAGAAAATTCGTCTTGGGTTCTTGGAAATAAAACGGAGGGTTTTTTAATAGTAATTTCACACATTAGTGTAAACTCCATTTCTTCTGGTTTGGTACTCAGCAGTAACTAATCCGTCCTATTGCCCCTCATAGGCTTGAAGAAAAGTTTTAAGTCTGTATTCGGTTTTACAGCCCTGTAGATGCTGAATATGAAGGAAGAGTTTATTAATTGTCTTCTTCTCTCAGCTGTACTGGCTGCTTAAAACTAACAAATAGAAGAGAGTTTGTTGTAGAAAACACTGGTTTTACTGTTACATTAAAGGTTACAAAGGCTGGGAAAGTGAATTCAGTCCAAATTTTTGCAGTTGTATATTAATGGTGAGGGGTTTATATTTTTGTGGACAGCGGGCTTGTAGAAGTGTTGCACCGTCAGCTATTCTAGCAAGAGCCAGAAGAAAATGCCTTCCACAGAGGAATCCTTCCAGTGAAGGAAATGTATCATTTCATATTTTGCAATCGTTGAACTAATATGCTGTCAGTCCTGCACTGAATTTGAGGAAAAACAAATAAGATAAAGTAAAATAAAATAAAATAGAATAAAATACCCATTCACTGAGCATGGAAAAGATCCAATGGTAACCCAATATCTGATTATGCAATTAAATATATATAACAACTGATTTACAGAAATAGGCTGAATTATGGTTGTATAGACTATCTTCATTCCAGCATGTATTAATTTTGAGTAGTTAAATATGAAAATTTAATGTTCTTTTAATATAAACAAACAAAAGCAACATGAAACAAGCGATATGGTGGTGGTCATGCTTATGCACCAGAATGGTTCCTACCACACTTCTGCTCTGGAAAACGACATGATGTCATTCCCTGCTGAAAGCCCCTTTACGATTCCAAATCAAATATATATCTTTGTAAGGAAAACTCCACTTGATTTTTTGGGGAATCACTTGAAGTGAATATTGTCCATACAGGTTTTAAATCAAGTTATCTTGGAATTTAATGCATTTAAAGTCCAAGATCTTTAAGTCAGTAATTAGGCACCTAGACAGAAATTACTTGATCTGCCAAGATGAGTTCAGATGACTGGAAGAATCAATTAGAAAATTTCTGTATGTATTCATGTATTGTTCCACCAGGTCTTACGAGGTCTAAGTGAATGAGACAGTTATGCCTCCCTTCAAAAAGTGCCTTATCAACCTTAATCTTTCCAATAATTACTTGCTTAGGTCCCTGGATCACTTAGGCCTTGCAGCACCAAGTAGACAGTGATATGTCTATAAAGAAACATGCTTTTTGTCTGCAGTTGTGTACTTTAGACTTCAGGGTCTCTCTGTCTCTTGAAAAAAACCCAACTCAAAAAAAAAAACCAAACCCAAAACCAAACCAAACAAACAAAACCAATAACAAACAAACAAACAAAAACAAAACCACCCAAAACCAACAACAACAACAACAGCAAAAAACCCAACAAACCAAACCAATTTTGAAGACTGTTGCCATCATAAAATTCTGGTCTCTGAAAATCAAGCCACATCCATTTCTATGTTCTATCAAGGAATAAAGTTCCTGACACTTGGAAGAATTTTTTTAAAATGTTACCTTGAAATTTCTAATTTCTAATTCCAATTACTATATTTATATATTTAGCTTCTGCCCAAGCACTGTAATTTTTTATCAGTTCTTCAACAAGCTAAAATGTTATCCGTGGGTGTCACATCCCTGGTGTAATCAAGTAATCCAAAACAGGATATTTGGCTGACGTGTAAGATTGTGATTTAAAGAGCAAGTTTTTCTCACCTCTTTTTACAAGTTTGTAGTTGATATAATATATTAATTAGCTAATTCATTTAAGAACATTTCTCAGCTGCTATCCAATCTGACCAAATTTACAAAGGTGTACCTTGCCTATAGTTTCAACATTATACATAAGAAAGGCTTTAAATTATATTAAGATTTTTACAAAAATTTCTCACTAAATTTTTTTCCTACGTGAAGTTGAAAAATTGCTGTTCCTGTTTATTTCTTTTTTTTTCTACAGCAGACTAGACCCTGATTAATCTGCTACTTAGAAGTTTAGTTTGGATTGTTGTCATATTAAATTTGAACTGATTAAAACTGCAAGCTTTCTAAAGCAATTCTTCTGAAATGAAAGAAATCTTGTCTTGTACTCAAGACATAGTGCTGGGTTAATGATTGGACTAGATTATCTCAGATATCTTTTCCCACCATAATGATTCTAAAAAACTGAAGGAAAAAAAATCTATTTCATATCTCTCATTCCTCCTTCTCTGTCAGTAGTTTCCTACCACAAGCTCAGTCCTGCAAGCAAACATCTTCAGTAAGGTATTATGGCTGCTGAACTTCAAGAGTGCTCAGCATTTCTTAGTAGTGGGTCTAATGATCAGATCTGCAAAGCTCTTGGCATAGAAATAGTCTCTTTGCAGTTGGTAGGACTTCAGGTATGACTAGAAATACACAATAATAGTCTCTTTTCTCTGAGTTCTTGAGGGTTTCCCTACATCCTAAAATGCTAACTTTTAATCTATAATTACAGTTTAAATATATAGGTACACTTTTGTCTCCGTTCTAAAAGGTAGAGTTTGATGCTCTTAACTTCACTACACTTTTCATGACTGAAAAATGGCTATCAATTCAGACTTAAACATATTTTAAAATTTCTTCAGCAGCAGCATTGCCATGCTGAAATAAGGAACAAAAAATTGTACAGTTTTCCTAGTCTTTTCGGCACCTTTGCTGAGAGGTTGTGTTTCTTTAATGTTCTGAATTTTTGCACTGCGGCATACAGCAAGGCTGAGAGAATGTCACTTCACAATTTTTTAGGGGATACATCCACCTACAAAGCTATTCATGTAGGGAACTTTGATTCTATTTATTGCTACTTTCATGTATTAATTGAACTTAAGCAGACTTTCTCATTACTCAGCATACAATGTCATCTGATGCTCAGAGAAATGTAATTTCCTGATTTTGTACCTTGTAGTTAAGAAATAGATTAAATTTTGTTGTTCCTTCTGTGGAGATCTCTTGCGAAGGTAGAACATGCTCAGAAGAAACATACTGAGTTCAGACTGCAGATCATTCATAATAATCTTCTGAGATACACATCTGCTTGAAACATTCATGTGTCCCTGAAAACTATCCTTACATGGCCATGAACTCACAATCTCAGCATAAAAATCAATCAGTCAGTCACACACACTATCTCTATAGACTGTGTAAGTACCATATACTATCCAGTAAGGTAAAAATGTATTTGGGAAAGGAGAGGGTTTTAGTGGTATTAACAACAGTCCCTGCTTTCTGATTGAAAGTGGGAAGGTGCTTGATGGTGTCTCCTTTGTTTCCTAGACAAACTACAGAGAATCTTCTCAACCTCCTGCTACCCAGCCAAGAAGGACAACTGGCTTCATAGTTTTCCTCTCAATAGAGAAAACCAGAAACTGGAGACTCTGCAGTGTGTTGAACCTCAGCTTAATTTCTGCTGTACAACACATTCATCCAAGTAAGAACAATTAACAATCCTTCTTTTGTACCTACCTCAAAAAAAAAAAAGATCAGAGGTTGGCCAAGCTGCTCATTGTTTTCCTGTGCCATGACTCAGATACTGCAGTTATCATGTGCACACATAAGGAGAAAATCTAACCTGCAGCACAATAAAGGATGAACCAGACTTCCCATAAGCCTTCTGCTTACTCTTGTGCTGCTTAAATTTTTTCTAATGTATTATGTAACCAATGAGTAACTGGTATATTTTGCTTTTCTCCTAATTCCTCTGTTCAAAGAAGAAAACAGCAGAAAAACTGGCATGAATAGTATTTATTTCACAGTATGCCATAATATGCCATTTTATAATATGTACTAATAAATATGCCATGATAATATGCTCGAACTGTAGTAATGATACCTAATTTAGTATATTGTATGTATGTATGTATAAAAAAGGTATTTTTAATAGACACATAGTATTTTTATATAAATTTTGTTTGTAGTAGTATCCACAGCTACTTTTCATTTCTAAGATAATTACAAGGCAATACTTGAAAATTTTTCAGTAAGCCCAAGTTAAAACATATGGAGTTAACAGCTGAGTTTATATGACAAAGCGTGATCCATCAGCACAGAAACCAGTAGGTGGGACTGGGATTTTTTGTAGTCACTACTTTATCTGCCGGTTGATTGTAAGTTTTGTAGTCTTAGTCAATAAATTCACTGAACTGAGTCAGAATGGTCTTATGACATTTATTCATAGTAGTATGAACTTGCATAGGAATATATTCACGCAGAAGAACATCATCAATGTGTTAGCTAAGGCATTGTGGAGGTCTGGTTCATAGCATACTATAACTATAACAAACCTTCCCCTAATTAGAAAGTTAATAACTTCATCACTTTTCTTAATTAAGATAAATCTTTTACATCTTCTGCTAATTTTTTTCACAGGTCAGCTTTACCATTTGTGTTTCAGTAACTAGGTAAGAGAAAAAAAAACAAACAGTAGTATGGAAGCCAA